TGTCGCGACCCGGATTTGTCGCGACCCGGATTCAATTTTTCCATAAAGGTCAATGTAAATACGGTTAATCCATTCTGACCCCTATGAATTTGGTTGCCAACTGATTTTGGTCACGACCCGAATCAAATTTTCCCATAAAGTTCAATGTAAATAGGGTTAATCCGTTCTGAACCATATGTATTTTTTTTTAAAACCACAAAAATATGAAACCAAGTACAGTACAGTACAGTATGAAGAGAGAACACTAACCTTGCTCGAGGTGACTTCTGGCATGGAGGACAGGAAGGCGGGTGGGGAGGCGGTTTTTTTTTGGGGGGAGAGTCCCCCTCCCTACAGGAAGCCACGACCACGTGTCACAGCAGGGAAAATGGCCGCGGATCCTGTTCATCACCCGATGTGGAGTTCGTGAACGGAAGCAAAATTTTGCGAACAGTGCTGTTCATGAATCGAATTGTTCATGAAGAGAAGTGTTCATGACCCGAGGTACCACTGTAATAGGTAGAAAAGATGGTTGTGAATGAGCTTAGGTCAGCCCAAGTCCTACAGAAACCATATTTCAATGGAGTTAAGAATGATCCATCATCACTGACTGTTGAATGCCACAAACTAACTATTTGAAGCAACTGCTATGGTTATATGCTACCTGGAACAAGTAGCAAGGTTACCAAAATGTGTTTCACATTCTCACAAGTGGAATTAACTTGGCATGAATATTTGGATGTTGCCCTGAGTTTCAGGACCCTGTTACCAAAAAAAAAAAAAAAATCAATACAACAGCTAATGATTGTATTAAAATCTCTTCTATGGCAGAAGGTGGGTTGGATCCAAAAGCATCTGAAATCTCAGTTGTATATTGTATTGCTGCAGCTAAAGAAATTCAGACAAATGCCCAGCATCACAGAAAAGTATTCTAGGAAGGTCATGTATATCTACTGGATATGCAGTACTAATCCTGTTGTAGTAACCTTTCTCATACATCTTTCATCAGAGCAACAGTTTTGTTTACTGCCACAGCACAAAACTGTTGTCAGTTCAAGGATGGGTAGTGTGTTTTTGTTGAACTCCACTTTCTATCTACCCTAACCTGGATGGCCGCTAGTGAGAGATGATGCAAATTGCAACACCGTCTGCAGACACACGTCGCCCGCTCTTACTGCAGTGGAACCGTCAGTGAATCTGCTATTATATAAAGCAATAGGAAGTCATGTGTCTCAAGATGTATGGAAATATACATTGGTACTTTGCATTTGAGAGTTTCGTACAGTGGTTACCTCCTTTAAACTCCCTGGATAAATGTGATAGTGCTTAAATGTAGGTACTCCCTCTTCAGTGCTGTAGCAATCAGTGAAAAGCTGGAGGGAAAGCATTTGTACCATTCTGTGGAACCCCGTTTGGTACCTGAAGTAGCATTCTATGATCTGCTCCTTGGTGATGTTTGAAACAAAGACATATCGTGCCAATGGCAAAAGAAATGCACCAGGGAATTCACACTCTACAGGATGAATGATCAAGGAAGATAAATAAAAGCATGACAGACACAACAGAAAAGGCACCTGCTTGACAAGATGCAGAAGTTTGATAGAAAGCACCAAGAAACTGCATCATTTCTTTTGGTAATTCAAAATGAGACAATTTGAGGCCATCGTACTTAACAATGTGAGAGTTTCAAGGTAAGGAAATTGGAAGCTGCATCTTTCAGGCCAGGAAAGATGTAACAGGTACATTTTTGCTTACAAGCAGTAAAATAAGCCTGTCTGAATCCAATCCAGTGTACAGAAATGCAGGAACTTCAGCATATCATGGTGGCAAAGGCTGTAATCTTGATTTGGGATACTTTTTATGTAAACCCAAGTGGGATTCCACTGATCCTGATCATAAAACTGAACTAAGAAACAGAGCTATGAAGAATTTGGAAAGAATAACTGGCATTATCCACACAGAAGCAGATCCAGATATTTTCCTTTCCCTCATAGTACAATGGGAATTGGAAGTTCATTTATTTGACCCCAGCGTCCTTTTGTTGTTGGAGCAATGCTGCTCAACACTTTGGTAAAGCACCCTAACCTTAAACCATTTCAGGTATATAGAAAGTTCTAGGTAATAGGTCTTATTTTTTATCACAATGTATTTAGATTGTGACTAAATAGTAGTATTCCTCCGTAGCCAAACATGCATTTGTAATGCATTTCATTTCGAGGAAGTTTGTATGGAGCATCATCATGTGTTTCTATTAAAAATGCATTTAATATCTGGACTATGCACCTCTCAACATAGAAACTAAAACTGTGCAAAGACCTGGATTCAAAGGGGAAAATGTGACTTGGAGATGCATGTCTGTGAACTCCCTCAAAGCAGTTGTGTTTCCTAGCAGCTGCCCTAGGAAAAGGCGTCTTTAGTTTTTCTTGACAGGTTTCCCTGCGTGCTCCAGATCACATTTCACCCTAACCAAAATATGCGTAACATGCCCCGATATACATCATTAAGGTTTTTGTTATGCATTGTCAGAAAACAAAAATTTTCACAAGTACTAGTTGGCTTTTTTCAAGGAATTTGCACCAGTGCTTGGACAGCTAATGTTCATCTTCTCTGTGAAATATTATATCAAATCACAGCATTAGTTAAGGTGATCAATTTTTTAAAAAATCCAAATTAACCAACTTTTGCTTCCTCTGCCTTTCCTTCTGGCTAGCCAAGTAAAAACAGATCTTTTTGTGTTGTATGAGTAGAATGAACAAAATTTAGTTCCACTCTGCCAATATACTCCTGGACTATTGTGCCCACACTATATAGATACTATTATTAAAGGGATTTATTTAGGAATATGCAATTGTATAATGTAGTCATGACCACTGGGGAACAATTTTGACAGATTGGAACCAAATTTGAAGAGCCAAACTCTTACAGTTAAAGAAACTGATTTTTTTCTGTGAGAAGCCACAATAGATGCCAATCCTATTTATCATATTCTGGGTAACCATAGAGTAGGAAATTAAAATCTTCATTTTAATCCATGGAATGACTAACAACCTCCATTATCATCCTAGGGCTGTCCTCCCCAATAGCCTATCTTCTGAAAGTGTGGCTCCTTGAACGATCAGTCCGCATACTCAAGCTAGGAATTCTGGGAGTTACATTCTCAAAATATTTAAAAAGTGGCAGGTGGAGAAAGCCAGCACTGATGCTATGACCTGGTTAGGATGCACTGGAATTTTCAAGAGACGAATTCATTGAGGAAGGCAAATACTGGCATCTATCAAGTACCCAAGCACTTTTGTCCCTATAAACAGACAAAAAAAGTTTTATATCATTTTAGGACTCTAGAAAACTGCTCTAATTAGAGTCATATCAATCTATCTCAATATTTTGTTGGCAGCATGATTCTTCCCAGCTCTACCCGAAAATGTTAGAGATTAAACTTGGGGCATTGTACATGTGAAGTATGTGCTTTACAACTGAGCTGTAGCCCTTCTGGTTTTGGGGGTGGGGGGGAATGGTTGAAGAGGAGAGAGATCACTACAGTAATTTACTTTGGGCTGGAGGAATGGGTTTATTGTTTTAAGGAATACACTGAAACACTTTGGCCACCTAAGTTCTTAACACTGCAGTTTTGATGCATAAATTTCTTTAACGATGGATCAATTATTTGTGTTTAGGAATTGTGTCAGTAAAGTACATCTCTATATAGAAAACATTTTAGGATTTTTGAACTCATCTTTTTTGTCTGTATGTATATAGAAAACATTTTAGGATTTTTGAACTCATCTTTTTTGTCTGTATGTATATAGAAAACATTTTAGGATTTTTGAACTCATCTTTTTTGTCTGTATGTACACACACATACAACATATTTATGTGTAAACAGACAGAAAAAAAAGATGATTTAAAAAACCCTAAAATGTTTTCTATATAGAGATGTACTTTACTGACACAATTCCTAAACACAAATAATTGATCCATCGTTAAAGAAATTTATGCATCAAAACTGCAGTGTTAAGAACTTAGGTGGCCAAAGTGTTTCAGTGTATTCCTTAAAACAATAAACCCATTCCTCCAGCCCAAAGTAAATTACTGTAGTGATCTCTCTCCTCTTCAACCATTC